ATTCGGTATTTTCGTCTTCGGTGAGACAGCCCGTTGCCAGCTGGTGATCTGCAGTGGAATACGTCACCTCTTCCTGACTGATATCGTCCATGCTCCCCTGGCGCAGGGGCAGCTTGATGTCCTGCATCTTACAGCTCTGCAGCAGGTTGTGCCGGTCGCTGCGCTTCTGTTCCAGTTTGGTCTCGATAGCAGTCACTTCCTTCTGGAGCTGGGTCATCTCCCTGCGAGACGACATGGGGTATCAGGTTAACAAAAGGAGCTTGGCTTTGTGGGGACGGTAGGTTGTGAAGAGGAGGACTGAGATTTATGCCTGCACTGGTTATTTGCTACTTGTCCACTCACCCAACCCCGAACCCGGCCAACTAACCCTGCCGCACATCTCCTGTTTAATCTGCGGGTGGAACCAATCCCCACTCACCTCCACAAGCAACAAGAATGAGTGAGAGAGAGGCTTTGCCTTCAACCCTATGCCATATCCACCACCTTACCCCTACTCAAACGGTGGCATGGTGACTCAGTAGTTAGCACTGCTGCCTCACAGCACAGGGACCCAGGTTTGATTCCAGCCTCAAGCAACCGTCTGTGTGGAGTTTGCATGTTCTCCTAGTGTCTGTGTGGGTTTCCTCCAGGTGCTCCAGTTTCCTCCCAGAGTCACAAAACTGTGCAGACTAGGTGGATTGGCCATGCTAAATCCAGCGATTTGCAGGCTAGGTGTGTTTGCCATGGGAAATGTAGGGTTACAGGGATACAGTAGGGGGCGGGTCTAACAGGCATGCTCTTCAGAAAGATGATGTGGACTCAAATGGGCCGAATGGCCTGCTTCCACACTGTAGGGATTCTACGACTGGTTGCCTGCTATCTCCACGTCCGGGAAGGACATTTTGCTGGCCGATTTCCCCCCTCAACTTCCCACCCCGCCCCACCCCAACCCTCTGCACTGACTTGGTGGCCCCTCCGAGCTTCTTGCGAATGTCGTCCATCTCGTGGTTCTTGTCGTTGACCTCTGACTTTTTGGCAAGGTGCTGGTTCTTCAGGTCCTGCAGCTGGGCCATGGTCTCGTCAATGATCTTCATGTGCCTGTGCTCCTCCTGTGAAACAGAGAGAGGTAGCTGAAAAGCAGACACTGTAAGGACTTGACAAGACTCTCCAACCAACACAGGTGAACGAATAATAAAACTCTACCACTGTCCCACACCGAGGTCTTGCAGTGGTTTGGAAGAAACTATGGGTTCCACTCCAAACCAGCAGGATGCAAACTTTTAAAAACGTATCCACAGGATGCTTGCGTCGCTGGCTCAGCCACCATTTATTGCTCAGCCCTAACTGAGCTAGAGGGGAGCCGAGAGTCAACAACCATCACTGCGGGTGTGTAAGAGAAACAGAAATTGCTGGAAAAGCTCAGCAGGTCTGGCAGCATTTGTGGAGAGAAATCAGAGTCAACGTTTCAGGCCCAGTGACCCTTTCTCAGAACAAAAAGTGTATTTGTGAAGTAGATGGGTTATTTGCAACAATCAATGATCACTGTTCCGACTGCCGTCACTAGCTTTCCAATTAGAGTCATGCAGCTTGGAAACAGACCCTTCAGTCCAAACAGTCCACACCAACAATGATCCCAAACTAAACTAGTCCCACCGGCCTCTGTTTGGCCCATATCTCTCCAAACCTTTCCTACTCATGTACTTACCTAAATGTCTTTTAAATGTTGTAACTGTACCCGATACCACACACAAGCCACTCTCTGTGTAAAGAAGTTGCCCTTTTTAAATATCTCTCCTCTCACCTTAAAAATATGCCGCCTAGTCTTGAACTCCCCCGACCCTAGGGAAAAAGACCCTTGTCATTCACCTTATCTATGCCCCTCCTAATTTTGTAAACCTCTAAGGTCACCCCTCAATCTCTTACGCTCCAGTTAAAAAAAAATCCCAGCCTCTCCCTATAACTCAAACTCTCCGTTCCCGCAGCATCCTGGTAAATCTTTTCAGAACCCCCTCCAGCTTAATCATCTACATTTATTAACGGAATTCAAATTCCACCAGTTTGTGCGGTGGGACATGAACCTGTGTTGTCCACAGCACTCGTGATATCACTGCACCAGTGACCTCACTAAACCTGTGGCTCATTACGGACATAGCAACATCGAAATCAGGACCATTCAGCCCTTTGAGCCCGCTCCACCATTCAACACAATCACGGCTGACCATCCGACAGCTGCCACTTTTCCCCCGTACCCTTTGAGCCTTTTAGCCCCTAACAACTATATCTAACTCCTTCCTGAAAACGCTCAAATGCTTTGCCCCCTACTGGTTTTTGTGGCAGAGAACTCCACAGCCTCACCATTCTCTGGGTGAAGACATTTCTCCTCATCTCAGTCCTAAATGGCTGATCACATATCATTAAGACTGTGACCCCCTGGTTCTGGATTTCTTGGTTATCAGGAACATCCTTCCTGCATTAACCCTGTCTAGTCCTGTTAAAATTTTATAGGTTTCTATGAACCTCCCCGGCTAACCCTTCTATATCTAAACTCCAGTGAACGTAGTCCAAGCTGGTCTTAAGAGCGATCTCACAGTTTCATGAACCTGTGGTCTGAAGCCAAGGCCCAGTGTGAACTGGAGGCTACATGCCAGGGTGGTCTGGGTTGGAAGACCATTGTTCTGAACTTTTACTTCTGCAATGCTGGACTTTTTATTTTTCTATTTTCTAAGATCCCATAACTGTAGAAGCTTTGTACCCAAAATGGTGGGTAAGTGGCGACTTATAAACTTTTCACTGTACTCATTTGAGTACATGCAACAATAAAGCTAATTCTAATTCATACGTCAGTCTTGTCATCTCAGGAATCAGTCTGGTTAGGTTTTGTGCAGCCCCCTGACTTTCAGCAATCAAATCAAATCCACTTGATGATAATTCAATTCCTTGTTTCATTCTTTTTAAACTTTTCTCACTGTGATTGTGAAATATTATCATTTCGAATAACAAACTTTTTGTAAAAACTTTTAAAGCATGGCTGAAACTTATTGCCCTCGTGCAACTCTTATTGGAGTTTGTCTAGCAATGCTGTGGCTCTGAGGTCTTCATCATACAGTAAACGTACAGAATGTCTCTCCCCATGTCATTAAGGTTATCAACTCTAGCCAGAGATAAGAGGGAATGTGGCTAGGAGGCAAACTCAATCAAATATAGCTTTGATGATGTGCCTTTATCAAAGTACAGAAAGTCGTACCTTTTTCAGTTTTTCAATCTCATTCTCGTCCTTCTTCACCGTTTGTTCCCACATGTGCACTTTATCCTGGTCCTCCTTCAGCTGTTGCCGCTCGTAGTCGAGCTGGATGCCCAGTCTTGTCTTCTGGTTCTCAAACTCCAGTCTGCAAGGGTGTAGGCCTCATTAAATACAGCCATGGCTCACTCAGTGGGGTGGGGGGTGGGGTTCAGCACTGGGCTCTGGCTCACTCAGTCTGCACTGAGCATTGAGTGTCCTCACCCAGCCAGGGGAGGGTCAGTGAGCACAGTGCTGGCTCACTCAACGGGTAGGGTCAGGTTACAGGCAGGGTCAGTGAATACAGATTGTGGGAGAGGTTTGGAGATGGCAAGTGAGCAGGGTGAAAAACCCAATCCACCTACCTCTTCTTGGCTATCTCGTTCTGCCTTTTCACCTTCTCCTCTTCAAACTCCCTGATGTTCCTTACCCCGATTTCTCGACAGAATTCCTCAAACACCTCATCCTCAACCTGTGCAGCAATAGGAGGCAGAGTCAGGGTTTTCCAGGATTTAAACATTTATTCCCAGCACAGGTGTCATATCAACTGTCAAACGGGTGAGTGAGAGTTAGTCGCTGCAGGATTCCCAGCCTCTGACCTGCTCTTGTAGCCACAGTATCGATATGGCTAGGCCCAGTTCAGTTTCTGGTCCACAATAACCAACCAACTCCAACACTCACCTCTGCCCCAAGGGTGTTGATAGTGAGGAGTTAACCGATGGAGATGCCATTGAGTGTTGTGAGGCAATGATCAGAGGACACTTGTGTGGGGCAAATATCAGCCCCAATGTCATCCAGACTTTGTCGCTTCAGTGTCAAAGCAGTCGTGAATGGCTGCATGGCACTCTGCAATCATCCCTTTTAATGGAGGGAAGGTCACCAATGAAGCAGCTGTTTGGGCCTAGCCCGAGAAACTCCTGCAGCGATGTTCCAGGACTGACCTCAAACAACAACTACATTGGTCAGTGCTACAATGTTGATGGGTGTCCCTCAAGGGCGACAAACCTACATTAAATACGACCTCATCCATGGTAGGGAGCCCTCTCTCCTGCTCTCGTTGACCGAGGTTCCTTCTTTGACATGTCACTGGCTGACTGTCAGGGACGGTCACTCTCGCCTTGCCTCACAGCTGGGCAATGTGGTCAGACAGCATGGGGTCCCTTGGTGCTGACAGAACCCAAAATGGCCACAGGAGATTGTGAGACAGGCTGAAGGGATCGAGCAAAGCTCGCGGCACCTTGTATATCGTACTACAGCAACTCTCTGCCCTGCTCGACCAGTAACCATTCGGGATTGGTAAAAAAAAAACCAGATCGAAACGTTTAGGCCCCAGCAGGGCTTAGACCATTTTCCACCTTAGTGATGCCCCATGCAACAGAGGCCAACCCAGGTGATTACCCCAGCCCAGATCTTGTTATGCAGTGCCTAACCTTTGGCGTAAGATGAAGGCCCCTCTGGGAGGAATGGCCTCTAGCAGGAACACCAGGCCTTCAGTGCAAATATGCTCAGGCACTTATAGCTTCTCCTGCAGCTCACCAGGTGATTCGCAGACACTGCCTGGGAGATCAGGCAAGATTGATGTCAAGTAAAATATAGTTTCGTTGAAAGTGAGCAACATGTTTCGATGGTCCTTACAAAATGTAAAGGAAAGTATATAAGAGTACGGCTGCCTCACCTGGTTCATCTTCTCTTTCAGCTCCTTCATCTCACGGTCCCGGGCCTGCACTGTGCGTTTGATGTCATTTATTTTCGGTCCAAAGTTTGCCAGCTCACTCTCCAGCTTGGATTTCTCCTGTAGTGCAAGAGTAAGATGCCAGTGAGAGGCAGAGAGACTGGGAGACAGTAGTGGGGGGAGATTGGAGATGGTGACCGAGAGACGGAGGGGAGGAAGAGCAGGAATTGGACATAAAGAGTGGAAAAAGAAAACAAGAGAGTGTGTCTATGGACAAGACAGGAAGTGAACAGGTGATAGCAGGGATGGAAGCAGACTGAGATTTTGGGGGGTGTGGTGGAGCATGGAAGACACCTTGCAACAGCCTGGCAGGGCAAGATTACCTGTGATCAGTAGGAGATGGTGAGGACAAGTGAGGGTGGAATAAATGGAAATGGAGAGAAAACAAAACAGCATGGAAAAGTAAAAGAGAGGAGAGGGAGATCATCGATCAGAGACAGCCCACAGACATTTGGGGCACTCTCTGTGTCACTGACCTGCATGTTCAGTGAAAGATGTCGGGTTTTGGTCTGATCCAGGTCACTCTGTGAATACTTCAATCTCATCTGGAGCCCGTGAGCCTGCGACTGCACCTGCCGCAGTTCGGCCTCCTTCCGTTTTATCTTCATTTGCTCCTGTGGGAGGAATCATGGATGAGTGCACACAAACTTGAAGAGTCAAGCCCTGACAAAATAAGAAATAGAAGCACGTAACTCAGTGGTTAGCACTGCTGCCTCACTGCATCAAGGACCCAGATTTGATTCCACCCTCGGGCTACAGTCTGTGTGGAGTTTGCACGTTCTCTGTGTCTGCATGGGTTTCCTCCGGGTGCTCCGGTTTCTGCACACGGTCTAAAGATGTCCAGGTGAATCAGCTCTCAGCATTAAAGCGGTCAAGACCCTCTCTTCCCCAGAAGATCTTATACGGGCGAAAAGGATCATCTCTTTTTTGGCTGAAGAGTACAGGCCCAACCTGCGCTCACAACACAAACCCCTTTCAGCCCAGGAGCTAACCAGCCAAGTGCAACACCTCTGAACTGCTCTGAACGTGACTGGAGACCGGGTGTCCTTTCTCCACACGTCCGAAGATCGAAAAGGCCTGAAAATCAAATGTTGTTTCAAAGCCGGATCTGCAGTCGCACTGGGTTCAGGCCCTTTGTTGGGGGCGGAGAAAATCTCTTTTAGGTCTGTTTGAGTCAAGGGATGTTTATTTCCAAATGGGCCAATCAGGATTGGGGTGAGGTGGGAGGGTTCCAAAACCAGACTTGCCCAGTGAGCTCCAGCACCCCACATTAAATGACGTGAAGGCCGACCTCCAACAGGAAGGTTTCCCGCTGACTCTAATCACTGAAACAAACAGAAAACCCGACAGTTCGGTCCCCTCACCTTCAGCTCTTCGGTCAGCTTTTCCTTCTTGCTCTTCAGCTTCTCAACCGCCTTCTCATCCCAGCGACGGGCCTTGGCCTTCAGGTCACTAGCACCGCCTGATATCACACCGGATTTCTGGAACAGGGTTCCATCCAAGGCAACGGTCTGCAGGGGGTGGGGGAGGGGAAACAGAATGAGGAGGAGGAGATCGACGCTGGGGCAGGCTCTCCTCATCAGGCATGGCGTTCCAGCCTACGCCCTGTGAGAGAATCAGACAGCGCTGCCCAGGAATGGTCAGGGAGACCCCAGGGATGAGGAGCGCCGGGATGTTGTCACATTCCCTTGCCACATGACCAGCTTCCAGGAGGATATTAAACTTGGGGGGCGGGGGGGGAGGTTTTGGCATTTGCAGGAGCAGACCACCAAGTCGGCGCTGTGTGTTTTAACCAGCTGGCATGAAACGAGAACAATCAAACGACAAAAACATCCAGTTTGGGTGGATCAAAAAGGTCTGTTTGTTAGTTGGACTCTCGCTCTGCTGTAAACGTGGAGCCCATTCACAACAATTTCCCCGCTCTCACTGTGGACAAGGGCGGATCATGCAGGGAAATCATTCAAGTTGGAAAGATGGAGGGTGCTCGGGACACATCAAGAGGCAGAAAAGCCATCACTGCATCCACTGGGACTGGCCTCCATCCCTCTCCATCTGCAAGCTGACTGTTCCTCAGCCTGGCTGCGCATAAAGGATAGTAAGTGAAGTACAAAGGCCACATCATGTAACGGTGGTGGGGTTTGGTGGGGTTGGGGGAATGAAATCAGCAAAGGGAAATGCTGAGGATCAGGATTCCTGCTGACAATTGATCAGACTTAATTATTTGCCTCACGAGAGTGGCCCAGAGTTGACCATGCTGGGCAGGCAGAATTAAGCTGGGAGATCAACCACAGTCTTCGCAACAGTATCACGACAGGGAAAGATTTAGGCAGAAATTCTCTCCGTGTCAAAGATGTACCTTGTGCCTCTGCGGACCCCCAAAAGCGATTCTCCTGGCATCCTCCACATTGTCGCACACGAGTGCATTCCCACAGGCGTACTGTAGAGCTTTCTTAATGTGTGGTGGCTCGTAACGGATGACATCGATCACCAGTTTAGCCCCCCGCAGCTCCCGGAGCTTCTCATCAGTGGGCTTTACCTGAAACCATAACATAGCCAAAGTTACACTAGTGTTATACAGCGACAGACTTGTCTCCACTGGTACTGTACCCCAGTGTCATACAGCGACTGCCCTGTCTCCACCGGTACTGTACCCCAGTGTCATACAGCGACAGACCTGTCCCCACCGGTACCGTACCCCAGTGTAATACAGCAACAGACCCGTCTCAACCGGTACCGTACCCCAGTGTCATACAGCGACA